ACGGGTTTTGTACGAAGTACATGCTTCGAAAATTTTGAAATTAGTATACATTAGCAGAGCACCTTGCAAGGTTTTACTTATAAGTATACGTCAGAATCTTTATCCACATACATATTGTAGCGCTCTTACTTTTGTTCATTTTTGAAAAGGTGATTTTCGGGGGAAAAAAGTTCAGGCGGCTCGACGCAGTGTCTGTTTATAATAATTTTGCGCAATATATTTTCCGGGGGAAGAGTCGCAAGGTCCTATTTTCGGGGGTACCGAGGTGATAAGTCGGATCAAGTCAAAGGGGAGAGCAGTCTTTTTGGAGTTCCACAAGGGAACAGGAGGTTCCTCTCGGTGACCTGAGGAGCCTTGGGACTCTTGCAACATCGGACCTCGTTGTTTCAAGAGTGTGAGTAGACATCCCGTCTGAGCCACGAAGCTATTCAACTCGTTCCCGAATTGATTAAGGCGAGTGGGTGGTAAAACCCCAGTTGTCATATATATCAACTGAGTGGTGGCCCCAGTGCCAGCTGAGTGGTGTAGACGGTGTTCTCCTTTTTTATATACGTACTCGTTAAATCTGGGTTTTGATTCTCCTTTCTGAATCTGGGACCATTGCATTTCCGGGTGGTTAAATCTTTGGTTTCCTTTTTTGCGTCGAGCCTCTGCGTACTTTTTTCCGTAAACCTGATAGCGTAATTCTAAGTTGGATTATTTTAAGTGATACAATGATATAAAGTCAACTCGCGATTAATGAACATAGTGATAAAAACCGAAACATAAATCTTTACTTTTGTTTTCAATTATAAATGAGTGTTAAATAGAATTAAAGTGTTAAAAATAATTAACTCGTATTAGTCAAAAATCCGATTCTTGAATTGTAAGGTAATAGGCGCGCGCGCTCTCTCCCTCGAAGCATTCGCTCCACGATACATAGCGCGACCTGTATAATTCTCCGAATTTCGTCTCTCGAGTATGTTAGTAAGGAGAAGTGTATTCGATTGACTACGCCGAATAGGATAAGCTTTATTTGTTAGTGCGCTCGATAGCTGATGAGTCTATCTTTATTCTTTTGTTTGTAAACTTTCCAAGTATTATAAATCAAGTTTCTATTTCTTTAATTACGCCTCGTGAAATATACGTTTTGATTT